AGAAGTATGCTCTGATTATGACCTAGTTAAAAATGCAATTCTTAAAGCTTATGAACTAGTGCCAGAAGCTTACAGACAAAAATTTAGAAATGCCCACAAACAGAGTGACCAAACCCATGTTGAGTTTGCTCGAGAGCAGGAGCAGCTTTTTGACAGGTGGCTTGTCTCTAAAGATGTATCTGAAGAGTTTAAAAAGCTCAGAGAGCTTATGCTAATAGAACAATTTAAAAACTGTGTTCAGTATCACATTAGAACTTACTTAGATGAACACAAGGTAGAAACTTTAAGTCAAGCTGCCACCCTGTCTGATGATTATGCTCTTACTCATAAGGGTAGTTTTATCAAGGGCAATCCTAACTATAGGGGTTATCAGGGTAACAAACCTTCATATGACTCTAAATCAAATCAGTCCTCATCATCAAATACATCAAACAAAGCAAAAGACCAGTCTAATTCATCACAGAGTTTTAGCTCAAAATCTGATCAATCAAATTCTTCAGGTCCAAAATCAAATGTCACGTGTAATTATTGTAAAAAGCCTGGTCATCTTATTTCTGAATGCTATAGGATTAAGAATAGAAGAGAGATGTCTGGTTCTGCTCATTCAAATGGTTGTGCTACTGTTCCCATTTCAAGAAAGCCCATTGTTTGGGATTCATATACTCATACTGAGAAATCTACTCATAGTGATATTATGGAGGATTATAAGCCTTTCATGTCGGAAGGATCTGTGTCACTGTCAAGTGATGATACCAATTCAAAGCCTGTTAAGATTCTTAGAGACACGGGTGCATCTCAGACTTTGTTGTTAGAAGGTGTCCTTCCTTTATCTGAGGAGTCATTCACAGGTACCCATATTTTGATGCAAGGCATTGAATTAGGTTTTACTAAAGTTCCCCTCCATCGTATTCATATCACATCAGAGTTAGTCAAAGGGCCAGTTATTGTTGGTGTTAGGCCACAACTTCCTGTTGAAGGAGTCGCATTGCTTTTAGGCAATGATTTAGCTGGGGGTAAGGTATCATTACACCCCATTGTTTCTGATCAGCCTTGTTCTATTGAGGATTCTGTCCAAGAGGACTCTGATATATATCCTGCTTGTGCTGTTACTAGGGCTATGGCTAAAAAGTTAGCTAATAGCGGGGATTCGTCTGTGGGAGATGACTTTGATAGTGGGTTTTTAAGCTCCTTGTTTGATGATGAATGTCACTCACCACTTGTTAAAGATGATCCTTATCCTATTTTAAAGGCAAATTCTTCATTGAAACAGCCTTCTGTTCAAGCCAAGCAGTCATCTATTAAGGCAAATTCTTCATTGAAAAAGCCTATTGCCAGAGGTGATTCACCTTCTGAGCAGGATCACTATTTTAATGCGGTTTCGCCCGCTCTTGCTAGTTCTGATGAAGTTTCATCTTCTTCTGCTAGTGTTCATGAGGTTTCATCCCCTCCTTGTTCTGAGGTTTCATCCTCTTCTAGTTCTGAGGTTTCATCCTCTATTTCTGATAGTGATTCTTTGAAAAATGATCCTCATTCTAAACACATGTTAATTTATGAACAAGAGCATGATCCATCACTCATTGATCTTCATAAAAGATGTCTTACTATTGATGAAGCTGTCAAGGTCCCTGTTTGTTTCTACAAAAAGGATGGCATATTAATGCGAAAGTGGAGACCTCCTGAAGCTTCCCCTGAAGATGATTGGGCAATTGTACATCAAATTGTTGTCCCAAAATTATATCATAAGGAAATCCTGAGTCTAGCTCACGATTCTCCCATGGCAGGTCATTTAGGAGTAACTAAAACATACCATAAAATACTCAATCATTTCTATTGGCCCAAATTAAAACAAGATGTCCAAGAGTATTGTAGGTCTTGTTATACATGTCAAATGGTAGGGAAACCTAACCAGAAAATCTCAATTGCTCCTTCACAACTTATACCTGCATTTGATGAACCATTCAGTAAGGTTCTTATTGACTGTGTTGGTCCATTACCAAAAACAAAATCTGATAATCAATATCTGCTCACTATTCTCTCTATGGCCACACAGTTTCCAGAAATAAAATCACTCATTGTGCTTGTGAATAACAAAGCAAACATTATTGAAAAATCACAAATCAACAATTTCACATTTGTTGGGCTACCAAAGGAGCTTATATCTGACTTACAATCTGACTCAGTGCTGAATGATTTCATTGGCATTGATAAAACTACCCCTGTGAGGTGTAGAGAGCTACACATGATGAAAAAGTATGTTGAGCGTGATAAAATTTCTTTACTCAACATGAGCTTGCGCTCTTAGCTCATAGGCCAAACTTGTATGTAAATGACAACTATATGTTATTCAAGATTCAGATATTGTAATTTATAAAGATAAACTCATGAAGATTATATTATATGGTAGGCAAATTAGACATTTGTGATAACTGTCACTTTATTTTAACAATATATAAAAACATTTGCCTAAACAGTGAAATTGATATTATATGAACTATAAGATTGCATCTAGATTATGTGAGCACTATAGGTGATCATTAAATAGTGTCACAAGATTACTTGATAACATCAGAGTGTACAATTAGAAATACTTACATAAGATCATGTGATAATTTAAAACATTGTACTAGTTTAGTGTTTGTCAGACTCAAAAATGTATGCTATTGTATATGTTATATGATCTATTGCATGTATTGTATTTATGACTTGATGCATAACTTAGTTTGATACTATTGTAGTATGATACTATTGTAACACATTATTACAGAACATTATATGTTATTAGATTGTACTCACACTGTAACGATAGAAAGTATTATATTACTTGTAAACATACTGCATATAAAAGGACTATTGTAAAGTTAATATCATGTAAGTCTCAACCTCACTTTTAGAAATTGTAATGCTCGCTACTCAAGATATTCTTGTAAAAGTTTTTCATTGCATTCAAAACTTTTCTTTTAAGGAGGGAGGTGTTACAGTAGTGAGCTACATGTATATTATATTCTACTATATTCACCTATAGTTTAATTTGTAATGTATGCTTGCTGTATATGTTGAGCTATTCTTTATTAGAGATCTTAGGTCAAGGTCACAATGACATTATACACTGTATCTAGTAAACAAAACTGAACTGAATGACTCATTAACCCTTGACCATCCAGATAGTTCTAGAAATTATAACCATTCATAAAAATTTAATCATGTCACTAAAGATGTCCAATCAAGATGTAGTTCCAGAAGATTCGTTTCTGGATCATTCTTTCACATTATAAAAAGAACAGCACAGTGACTCTCATTAGCAGATAAATTAAGTCATCATAACTGGACATCTACTCTGTAGCAGAATTTCAAAGTTGATCAAAGGACATCTTCTTAGCAGAATATTACAGACACCTACTGTGGGAACATTTATAACACTACAAATATACAACCTGAGGACTTTATATGGACATATATTACAATATACATTATATACGGATTATCATATATATATATTCGTGGATTATCATAAACATTTGTAGATTATCATCAAACATTTGTGGATTATCATCAAACATTTGTGGATTATCATCAAACATTATTGGATACGAACATTATAGGATTACAACAAACATTATTGGATTATTACAAACATTGGAGAACTATTAACGATTATTGAAACATTTCGTGATCTGGAACATTCTCAAGGATCGTCAACGACATTTATCAACATCAAAAATAAGCCGTATCATTGATTGGACATCACTTAAGTATTAAACCTCCTTTATATTATTGTTATTTTATTTAGTTTTCAAAATATAAATATATTGTTATCATATTTTAATTGCTGTTTTTACTTTCTGTTATTTTCGAACGTAACAGTACACAGACAACACAAGAACACATCACAGCCTTTTTATAAGAGTTGCGGACCACTCAGGAACCCATATAAACAGTAATACGCTAAGATAATAATACCCTGAATTACATATCCTACAATCAAAAGGAGTCGAAGCCAGGGCCAAGCGATAGTGGTAACCTTGACTCTGCCAATTAGCCATAGTGGGTGGATGCAATCTAAGCAAATCATAACTGCATATTGACTGTATATATTATGGCATCTTTGAAATTAAAAAAAAATTGGTGGTCATAAAACAGAAAATAGATCGCTTTTCTTTTTTTTCTTAAAAGATAAAATTTTTTTCATTTAGAGCAATATATTGTGCACATTTTCTGAAATTCAAAAGATTATGTTCAATGAAGCTGCTACTTTTAGCTATTTTCAGCCACATTTTCAGAGGGCTGTTTAGGGTCATTCTGACCATAAACATTGTGACCCTGGTCATGTAATGGTCATATGTGGAACTAGTTAAACTGACTGGCGGTCAAAACAGAACTCTGTTATCTTTGTTCAAAAATTTTCAAAATCCAGGTGTTCAAAATGGTTTTGTCACCTCCTGTATTGCCATTTTCTGTTAAGTACCATGAGAACTAATAAATAGTTCCTTTCTAACAAAATCAATTTTTTGAATTCGAAGAAATCTCATTAAAAAAAAACTGGTATTTTCAGAGGGGGGAGTGCGTTTGCATCAAATGCACCCCCTTTCTGATGCCTATGTATGTTGACAATTATTTGAGAACAGACTTTAAGATCCCCAAACATTTTAATGGTTCTTCCCTTGTTCTTCTTGTGTTGGAAACAGAATCCTGCAATACCTGTACTTAAATTTACTCCTTCAGGTCATGTTGAATCTTTGCTATTTGTTGTCTTATAAGTTATTAAATAAACCGTCAAATGTTTGAGCATACATAAACACTATCTGTTGATTATTATATCATTGTTCCCTGCTAGTTCTATACTCCTTTCAATATATTATGTTGAATTATAGAACAAGATCTCCATGACATTATTTGCACAGGTACATCTTACAGATATCTTTAAACTATGTTCAAGTGGAGGTCATATCTATCAGTTCCTAACATATATATAGTAGAAAAGACTGCACGGTGCACATAAGATGGACAACTACATGTAAGAGTTATACGAAAACTCAACAACCAAAATATAAACAGTGATACAAGGAGAACAGTGTCAAAGACATAATGAACATAATTGTTGAACTTAGAATCAACACCAAGAATATAGTAGTACTATATACCCTATATATCTGTATATAGAGATACACGGAGAACAGTGTGACAACAAATATTAAAAAAAAATTTATTAAAGTGGAGAATCAACAACCAAAATATATATATATAGAAGATGTGATGAAAAACACTATGCATACTCATATTGAATGACATTGAGTACCATGTGGATATTTAAAAGAGATATTGACTTAACCTGCCTTTATGTGATGTTAGTAAACCTAGTTCTAAATAATATCATCATAGTCTGATCCGCATTGGAGAGAAAAAGTTCAAAATATAATTTGAACAGAAAAAGGACAAACAATTATCCATATTTGGGAAAAGCAGTTAACCGATGCTACATACTGAAACATTCAGGCTACATGAAAAATACAGACAGCATACTGACTGACAGCGCTAAATTATGAACAATATATATCAACCAGGCTGTATTGATCTACCATACTGAATGTTCTGTCCTAGGATATTCTAAATATTTTGGAAGACATCACTAAGAATGCCTAATCATAATCCCATCCATACTGGAAGAAAACAATTTAAATGTGACATTTGTTCTAAAACATTTAGGCGTAATTCTGACTTAGTAAGCCACAATTTCATCCATACTGGAGAGAAACAATTTAAATGTGGCATTTGTTCGAAAACATTTGCTCAGAAATCTTACTTGGCAAGTCACAATCTCATCCATACTGGAGAAAAACAGTTTAAATGTGACATTTGTTCAAAAGCATTTTCACAGAAATCTTATTTAGAAAAACACAAATTCATTCATACCGGAGAAAAACGGTTTAAGTGTGACATTTGTTTCAAAAAATTTGCACTGAAATCATACTTAAAGAAACACAATCTCATACATACTGGAGAAAAGCAATTTAAATGTGACATTTGTTCAAAAGCATTTGCACTTAAGTCCAACTTACTAATGCACAACCACATTCATACTGGAGAAAAACAGTTTAAATGTGACATTTGTTTCAAAAGATTTGCACTGAAATCATACTTAAAGAAACACAATCTCATACATACTGGAGAAAAGCAATTTAAATGTGACATTTGTTCCAAAGCATTTGCACGCAAATTCAGCTTAATTAGTCACAATATCATCCATACTGGAGAAAAGCAGTTAAAATGTGATATTTGTTCTAAAACATTTGCAAGGAAATCTGACTTAAAGAGCCACAATCTCATACATACTGGAGAAAAGGATTTTGAATGTGACATTTGTTTTAAAACATTTGCAAGGAAATCTAACTTAGGAAGTCACAATCTCATCCATACTGGAGAAAAGGATTTTGAATGTGACATTTGTTTTAAAACATTTGCACATAAATCTCAGTTAGTAACTCACAATCTCATTCATACTGGAATTAAGCAGTTTAAATGTAACATTTGTTCTAAAACATTTCTACAGAAATCTCACTTAGTAACACACAACCTCATCCATACTGGAGAAAAACAGTTTAAATGTGACATTTGTTCTAAAACATTTGCACGGAAAGATACATTGGTAAAACACAATCTCATTCATACTGGAGAAAAGTAGTTTAAATGTGATTCGTTCTAAGACATTTGCAGGAAATTCTCAATAAGTAAGTTAATTTCTCTTTCATACCGGAGAATACTGTTCTAAAATATTTGCATGAATATCTGACATAGCAAAACAACATCATCCAGACTGGAGAAAAGGAGTTTTAAGTGTGAAATTTGTTCTGAAGCATTTATACAGAAATCTAACTTAGTAAGACACAATCTCATCCACACTGGAGAGCAACGGTTTAAACATAATATTTGTTCTAAATGATTTGCACAGATATTGTTTTAGTGAGACACAATCTTATCCAGACTGGAGAAAAACAGTTTAAATTTGACATTTGTTCTAAAACATTTGCAAGGAAGTCAGAAATAGCAATTCACAATCTCATCTATACTGGAGAAAAGGATTTTAAATGTGACATTTGTTTTAAAACATTTGCACAGAAACCTCACTTAGTAAGGCACAATCTCATCCATACTGGAGAAAAACAATTTAAATGTGACATTTGTTCTAAAACACTTGCAAGGATATAGCAATTCACAATCTCATCCATACTGGAGAAAAGGATTTTAAATGTGACATTTGTTTTAAAACACTTGCACAGAAACCTCACTTAGTAAGGCACAATCTCAGCCATACTGGTGAAAAACAATTTAAACATAATATTTGTTCTAAATGATTTGCACAGATATTGTTTTAGTAACACACAATCTCATCCATACTGGAGAAAAGGAGTTTAAATGTGAAATTTGCTCTAAAAGGAAATCTGACTTAACAAGTCACAGTGTCATCCATACTGGATGCAAAGTACATTTCCCAACAACTTTTAGTCCTTATCTTAGATTTCCTTGCAACTTCTACATTTCATTGTTCATGTCAAAACTGAGCTACCTGCCAGAAAAGTGGTATTTAAATTATAAGACCATTCTTGCTGAAACTACTACAATAATGTAAGCATAATTAATTATATACCCAATATGTAACACTAATCCTGATTGGTCAATACCTAGTCACGTGTTCCGAAATAGATTTACTATTTCCCTCGGAAAGTTATATTCCCTCAAATGTGACGTCAGCGGGAATATACATTTGAACTATTGCCCGCTGACGTCACAATTGCAAGTTCTATTACCCTTGGAAACGTCTGTGCATCATCACTGCGCAGACGAAAAATAGAAAAATGGAGGATGAGCACAAACACAAATCAACTCCGTTCACCATGACAGACGTGCGTGAACGATACAATATAACCCCCCTATCACACCAAACTAGTTCTTACCCGTTCTTGCCAGTCCTACGAAAATGTAGTAAAACGGGCTAAATCTGGCTGTGTTCGGGAAATATGTCTGAAATAATTAGCTTCTTCGTTCTCAAACAGTCTTCAATACGTCCATCTCGTTCGCAGTTCGTTCAGGTCGCACCACGTCGGTGTGCAACGTAGTAGAATGCATCCCTTAGTCTAGAAGGTCAACATAACCTGATTACAGAACGGTATGGTCGCCATCGAATTTTGAATCGATTCAAAATTTTAAAATCACATTCCCGTCTGAGAACGTTCATAAAGTTCGTAAATAGACCTTAGAAAGTTGCAGCTACGTTCATTCCGTTCGCACACAGTTTCAAACCAGTTTTGATGAACGCAGTGGCAACTTGTTTGGTGTGATAGCTACATGTACATTTTTGCTAACTCGTTCATAAGCAGTGTTAAATACGTTCTTAATCAGTTTAAACCCGTTTGCAATTAGTTCTACCTCGTTCTCAACACGTCCTCAGACAGTTCAACTCGTTGTTAAAACGTCCCTAGTAGGATTGAAGTACAACGGTTCCGTTCGTAGTACGTCCAGCTCGTCGTTAGTACGTTGTCACTCGTTCTAATTGTAGGACGTGACGACCACGAGAACATTTTGAGCATTGTCTAAGTTCTAGAAGACCTACCCATTCGAGTACGTTCGATGAAGTTTGTAAATAGATCCCAAACGGTTCTTAGTAGGTCCAGTCCGTTCGTACACAGTTGAAGCCAGTTTTCGAGAACGTAGTGAGAACTAGTTTGGTGTGATAGTAGAGTAAGCAACGTGTATAAAGTTCCCTAAGCTCAATACGTCTGTGTAATTTCAAGTGTTATGATAATCTATTCCGCATGTTAAACACGATTGAATTTGTCAAGTGAGAGTCTCAGAGGCAAAAATTTCTGTTGAGCATCTGATGACGTCACAGCTTATAATGCTAACAATGGACCCGGGGAGGGGGCTTTCTAAGCCTTTTTGGCCTTCGTAGAGGAAACGGGACACGAGTCAGTATAGGGTATATAATAAAACAAATAGTGACTGCCTAATTTCGATCAATAGTGTAAATGATTTCCCACTCACTATTTGTTTTATTGCCCCTGTATGCCTGATTTAGCAAGTCACAATGTCATCCATACTGGATGCAAAGGACATTTCCCTACAGCTTTTAGTCCTTATCTTAGATTTTCTTGCAACTTTTACATTTCATTGTTCATGTCAAAATTGAGCTACCTGCCAGAAAAGTGGTATCTAATTTATAAGTTCATTCTTGCTGAAACTACTACAATAATGTAAGCATAATATATTATTGCCAAGCTCTCGATCTGTAAAAAATAATTTTTCACGTTTCTTGGAAAATGCATAAGGATGACAATATTCCTATAAGGAAAATAGTAGATTAGGAATCATTTTGTTTCTGTCTCACTTTTACTTCTATTTTGTATATACCAAATTATTCTTACCTTACCTTATTATACAAATAGTGACTCCCATTGAGGGAAATAGTGCAAAATACATGTGCCTTTCCTGAGGGAATATCCTGTCCACTGACATGTTCTCAAAATGTTTACACTATTACCCGAAAATGTGGCAGTCACTATTTGTTTTATGATATACCCCATATGTACTCTGTAAACAAAAACAAAATGAGAAGTCTTCATTTCAACATTTTTTATAATTACAGGTTCTTAGGACTGTCCATGGAATTAGTTCATCTATTTCATATCATGTGACCATGAATAAGCCAATGAGCATCTAGAATACATATGAGGTATATAATAAACTAAACTATACACACCTTTTGAACGTGCTTCTTTTTATCATAATCTGGATAGATATCCAAAGTCAGCAATATCATATCCAAAGTCTGCCATAAGAAAGAAAGGTGTATATTGGACATAACCATATTGCACCAACGCTTAAATACTCTATATAGATGCACCTTAATGTAGGAGTGCCACTGTTAAAAAGTGTATATCTAAATGAATAAATAAATAAATACCCATGGCGGGACTTCATTCCTAAATATGAAGAAAAATATACATAATAAATAATTATGATTTACATTGTTCATTAGACCATCACCTTCATAGTTTTGTTCAATAGATGAAACAATTTATTTACCAGTGCATTAGTATTTATAATTTTGAATTTTTTCTTGATCTTGTAAAGAGTCAATAAAAGATATATATATATATAATTAGTGTAATATGCATTGATAATATTTTCTTTAATTTGTGGGATGCAGTGTATTAAAAACTGTGTGACTATGTATTTTGTGTAACATCTCTTCCTGTGTGACTATTATATACCACTGGGGTGTCCGGGCCCGGTGTCCGGGTCACATCATGTATTTTAGATTGAATTTTAAGAGAATAAAAAGTAAAAAAAAAATTTTGTTATCATATTCACTGAGAAATGAGATGGAAACAAAGTATACTCACTGTACTGTATTGACAAAGTGTTCAGATTTGGACCAAGGCGGTGTTGTTGATGGAGGGGGGGGGGTAGTTATATTACTTTACGATGGAACAAATTCACAAGAACTCTTGCATTTGGAAAAACTAAACTCAGTACCCCAGTAAGGAACTGGATATTATGTCTCTGGAGAATGAAAATGGGAAAATTTTGATTATAAGTATAAATTCAAGTAGCATGTCTTATCATGTCTTATATACACGTAACTCCCCCCCCTCCATCCACTGACCACTCCCCCTCCATCCAATATTAATTTATTTCGATTATTTTTTGTATAATGCATGGAAACTAACTTTAAAAAGTGAGCAATGTCATTAATATTGTGATCCCTTATACCTATTTATTACAGGTCATGGAGACCATTGTTGCCTAATTTATAGCAAAAACATTTACTTTTGCACGTTGGTGATGATGCGCCTTTTTTAATAGATCTCATATCTTAGAAGGGTATCAGTTCACAAAAATACTAGAAGACCTAACATATTTTGCCGTGCACTGCGCCTATTCATTTGGCAATTCAGTTGTAAATTTTCTCTTGAAAAAATAAAACTTCAAAATTTGTTGAGTTTTCTTGCAGAAATTGCCCACTCCCCCCCCTCCATCCATTTTGTACAATCACCGGGCGTGTGGATTATCAGGTCTGCCTTACAATTCCATGATAGCATTTGACAGAGCTATTTCAGCATCCCTGAAGGACCTTATGCCAGGAATTTGTGAAGTTGGAGATTGGCAATGTTTTACTTCATTTTGATCATAGCTATTGAACAGTTTGATCAGGTTGAACTACATGTATGTCCTTTAACAGGAAACTTGACCTCTTCTATCTAGTCTTGATTTAGGGAATGCTTCACAAAACTTGTCCCAGATTGACAAGTTTTTCATTGGCCTAATGTACTGTAATATTGAATATGACTAACATGAATAACAATAATCAGCCATAATTATTATGGCTACAAATACATCTGGATATCCATTATGGGTGACCAAAATTAGCTGAAAGCAATGGATCACATGAGTTTTCCCTATGGAAAAATAATGTGGAAAATTTTGTTTTCCACTTTAACTAAAAGGAATCTTATTCTTTTTAAAGTGATAAACTATGTCAAAACACAACATATTGATGCAAGAAAAATTAAAAAAGCAGGGGTGGAAAGGGTTGAAAATCAGGAAAACATTTCAGAAAAACATGTGGGTGGGTTGTTTGCATCTTCCCTGCCTCAAAGTCGAAATTATTCTATCATTTCTATGAGTGCTTTTCCTGGAGGTAAAGCATTGGTCTTACATATGCACCTATTTAAAATAGCCAAAATCCAATAAATGACTGTCCGAAATCTGTTGCAATACTTTCCTCCTTCTTTTCAAATTTTTTCAACATATTTATTCAACATTTTTTTCTAACATCTCTATTTTTCAAAATGTTTTAATTCAACATTTTTTCAACATTCCCTTTTTTCGCTGATGATGATTTCCCATGGGATAGATGGACAATCCTATGGTTTTTCAAAAATATAAATTATATCCATTCATGGATATCAATATCTTTACTCAATATTTTATGAATTTCAGTGATATTGGTATCAAGTATTCATAACTTTGCTCTCTACCCCTAATCACCTTGGTTTTATGCCAAAAGATCTGTAGCTCAACACTGGGTGTGTACCAAATTAAGTGTGAAAGTTGCACGCAGGATAAGGTACAACACGAGGTTGATGAGGTTCATCATTTCAGAAAGATTTGGTCTATAGTTTCTAGATCTTTCTGAAAATATGAAAACATCAGTTTGCTAAAATTTCATCACCCTTATGGTGTACCTTACCCCGTGCATTGTCACAACTGTCACGCTTAATTTGGTACACACCCTGTGCTCTGAAGCTAAAAAATAATGAAGACATTAAAAACATTGCAAAAAAGTATGCACTGACGGTCCCTCAAATACCCACATACAAACTAATGGTTCTTCCCTTTTTACATATGGAGGTAACATGAAACAGCAATAACCCTGTGCTAAAATTCACACTTCCAGGTCATGTTAATCTTCGCTATTCCTTCTCTAATGAGTTCACAAACAAACTATGGCAAATGGAAGCTGCTTTGAGTCTTTATTATTTATTGCTCATTTTACTCCTTCCAATATGTTTTGTTGAATAATAAACCAAATCACCATGACATTATAAGCACAGGAGCATCTATGTTAAGTGTTAATTGGAGGTCATATACCAGTTCCTTCATAGTAGCACATGGACAGTGATGTGCACAGAAAAGGACATGTACATTTGTAAATAATTACATAAAAGACTCTAAAACAAATGGAATATCTATAAACATATACTGATGCATAGTAGCAAAGCTGTGATTCTTCCTCGATTCTTCACAGGGAATGGACAAATACCTACCTGAGAATTCAATAAAGAGACTGAACAACCAAACCATATAATACTGTTACACAAAGTCAAGGAGAACCCCATGAGTAACCTAAATGAACCCAACTATTGAAGTGAACAATGAACAACTAGAATATACATGATATACAGAGCCATAGAGAACAGTTTCAGTAACGTGAATGAACATAATAACTGAATAATCGAACTGCAGAATGAGCAACCAGAATATACAGAAACATTGAGAACAGTGTCAGTGACATTATTGAACATAATCGTCCAAATAACTTCCTGAGAAAATAGTGAATCCAATCCGTAAAGTCCTCAGGTTACATGCTGCCACTGTTCTTGCAAGGCCGTTTCAATACCCGGGAATTTATCGATTTGTGCAGTGTATGTTTGTGCATGTTTGTGATAGTGCCCTCTGCAGGTCACTGCCCTAAACTTTCTCAGGTAATAAAGAGGTAGCTTGTGAGCATTGGGTGTAGTTTTTCTATCCATCGATTATTGACGTTATTCATGACTGAAATCGAGAATGTAGATGGTAATATTATACAAATTCGGGCACAAAATGGTATTTAATAGGCAGATATATATAGTGTTTCCACCATTTAATAGAGGTAAACAATATGCTTTATCAGTACTTTTATAAAATCACTGATTGTGTAATACACAAAAGCAATATCACAACTCAAAATATTTCATCAATCACAAATATCTCTCTCTACCTTATTTCCACAAGATCTTATGTGTCAAGATCAATGTTGTCGGTCATAGGACGGATATAATTTTAAATAACCCTCCCTGTAATATATTGAATAATCAAATTTATCCCATACTTGGACGTGTTACAGGTACATAAAGCCGGTTTGGAAAATTTTTTATCCCATACTTGGACGTGTTGCAGGTACATAAAGCCGGTTTGTAAAAACTTATATTTTCATCAGAGGGCAGATATAGCTTTATGTCCCGCTCCGAGCTGGCAGATATAGTATATCTGCCCGCTACGTCATAATCGCCGCTCGCATATTTGTTCATAATTTGTAACGTTCGCGTTATGACTGTAAACTACAATGGAGAAAACACAGACAATCGGGATCTGTTTGATGGTTTAAAAAAGGGAAAGAGCATCCACTTAATCAAAAAAAATTCCAGAAAATAAATGTGGGAATATTTGAGAGAACAGGAAAATCCGCCCACGGCCAAGAAAACAAAACTGGACATGAATATTCTAAAATATTTCCACGATTGAACAATGTGAACCAGATGACCAAGATTGGTATGGGATAAACATATATTCTTGGCCATATAATATATTTTCCCTCAGGACCTGCGGCCCTCGGGCAAATATATTATATTGGCCTCGGGATAATCCCAATATCCTGAACCTCATATAGGATAATCTCTATATATTTTTATCAGCGGGCAGATATAGCTTTACGTTCCGCTTTGAGCGGGCAGATATAGTATATCTGCCCGCTACGTCATAATCGCTGCTTGCATATTTGTTCATAATTTGTAACGTTTGTGTAATGACTGTAAATGACAATGGAGAAAACAAAGACAATCGGGATCTGTATGATGGTTTAAAAAAAGGAAGGAGCATCCACTTAATCAATCAAAAATTCGAGAAAATAAATATGGGAATATTTGAGAGAACAGGAAAATCCGCCCACGGCAAAGAAAACAAAACTGGACATGATTATTCTAAAATATTTCCATGACTGAACAATGTGAACCAGATGACCAAGATTGGTATGGGATAAACATATTATCCTATAGTCGGTTCAGGATATTGTGATTATCCCGAGGCAAATATAACATATTCGCCCGAGGGCAGCGGGTCCCGAGGGAAAATATATTATATTGGCCAATTGGTCATATAGGATAATCTCTATTTATCCGATGGATACTAAATATATGTGGGGATACCAACAAAGATAATTTTCGTATACGCCACTAAAATCGTATCTGATCCATATGACGTGATATCCAATCGTGTCCGACGGATACTATTTTAAAAATATTTTGAAAAAATTGAAAAAAAATAGAACTTTTGAAAAAGAAATTGAAAAAAAAGTTTTGAAAAAATTGAAAAAAATGTTGAAAAAAAAATTGAAAATTACTTCAGAAAAAAATTTTAAAATGAAATTATAGAAATAAAGAAAATGAAAAAAATTGAAAAAATATTTGGAAAAAATTTGAAAAGTTACAAGGTTATATGACCAGTAAAACTGAGTTACATTTTTTCATCCAATCATTTTATAAAAATAAGGTCATAGAAAAAAATGGTTTAATTATTTGAAGTCCATACAAAAATAGCGACCATCGGATAAATATGATATCTTATGATTTTCTTGGCTATCATTTTTATCCACTCTTGGATATCGTCGATCTCCACTCATTCGCTGTGCTCACTCGTGGAGATGAGTGATATCCACTCATGGATAAAAATGGTATCCCTCAAAAATAATAGGATATCCTCTATATATGCGTGTGCATGCAGCTCATCTACTAAACAAAACGAAACTTATCGTGAAATCACCAGGTATTGATTTTTCCCTTGTTTTTGCAGGTTGGCCACTGTGGATGTCAGCTGTCAAGTTCCTGTGATATAATCCTAAACAAATAGAAACTATTCTATGTATACTAGACATTGATATTCTTGAATTACATCAAACCACAAGCATACTGAGGCTATATACTAAATTTAGACAGTGCTGAATTACCATTTATATATAATCCAAAGCATATTGAATTATATAAACTAGAGCATATTGAGGTTAAATGCAAAACATTCACTAAAGTGCTGAAATACGACTTAATCTCAAACATATTGAGGCTGAATAGTGCATACTAGATGTTCAATAAGTTGAATCATCATCAATGTATAAATTTTAACCAAAATGAAGCTATATCATTGATATTGACAGTGTTAACAATATAACCACTGAATTACCACTGATAACACTAAGCATATTGTGGTAATATGCTACATATTCAGCACATTGCTGAATTACCAATCATATAAATCATATATTAGGTGCAGAGTATTATTGATAATTAATGAAACCCATTTATGGTTACAGGTTACATACTGATATTGCTTTATCATCATTTACATATAACCCTACACATTCAGGTCACAGATACCTATAATCCTAAATTACAAGCATCATATACCAGGCTGAATTACCCCAAATATACTGAAAAAATATTGTTCCTGTTCAATGAGATTTTAAATGAATCGGCATGAGTACAGATACATGTATAATGTCTAATCACAATCTCATCCAAACTGCAGTAAAGCAGTTTAAATGTGACATTTGTTCTAAAACATTTGCAAGGAAATCTAGTTTAAAGAGGCACAATCTCATACATACTGGAGAAAGGCAATTTAAATGTGACATTTGTTCTAAAACATTTGCAAGAAGATGTCACTTAGTAAGCCACAATCTCATTCATACTGGAGAAAAGCAGTTTAAATGTGACATTTGTTCTAAAACATTTGCAAGGAAATTCAACTTAGGGGAACACAATCTCATCCATACTGGAGAAAAGCAGTTTAAATGTGACATTTGTTCTAAAACATTTGCAAAGAAGTCCTTAGTAAGCCACAATCTCATTCATACTGGAGAAAAGCAGTTTAAATGTGACATTTGTAGTAAAACATTTGCATGGAAATCTGCCTTAGTAAGCCACAATCTTATCCATACTGGAGAAAAGCAGTTTAAATGTGACATTTGTTCTAAAACATTTGCAAGAAGATATCACTTAGTAAGCCACAATCTCATTCATACTGGAGAAAAGCAATTTAAATGTGACATTTGTAGTAAAACATTTGCACGGAAATCTGACTTAGCAAGTCACAATCTTATCCATACTGGAGAAAAGCAGTTTAAATGTGACATTTGTTCTACAACATTTGCACATAAATCTTCCTTAGCAAGTCACAATCTCATCCATACTGGAGAAAAGAAGTTTAAATGTGACATTTGTTCTACAACATTTGCACATAAATCTTCCTTAGCAAGTCACAATCTCATCCATACAGGAGAAAAGAAGTTTAAATGTGATATTTGTTCAAAGACATTTACAAGGAAATCTGACTTAGCAAGTCACAATCTCATCCATACAGGAGAAAAGAAGTTTAAATGTGATATTTGTTCAAAGACATTTACAAGGAAATCTGACTTAGCAAGTCACAATCTCATCCATACTGGAGAAAAGGAGTTTAAATGTGATATTTGTTCAAAGACATTTACAAGGAAATCTGACTTAGCAAGTCACAATCTCATCCATACAGGAGAAAAGAAGTTTAAATGTGATATTTGTTCAAAGACATTTACAAGGAAATCTGACTTAGCAAGTCACAATCTCATCCATACTGGAGAAAAGAAGTTTAAATGTGATATTTGTTCAAAGACATTTACAAGGAAATCTGACTTAGCAAGTCACAATCTCATCCATACTGGAGAAAAGAAGTTTAAATGTGACATTTGTAGTAAAACATTTGCATGGAAATCTGCCTTAGTAAGCCACAATCTTATCCATACTGGAGAAAAGCAGTTTAAATGTGACATTTGTTCTAAAACATTTGCAAGAAGATATCACTTAGTAAGCCACAATCTCATTCATACTGGAGAAAAGCAGTTTAAATGTGACATTTGTAGTAAAACATTTGCACGGAAATCTGACTTAGCAAGTCACAATCTTATCCATACTGGAGAAAAGCAGTTTAAATGTGACATTTGTTCTACAACATTTGCACATAAATCTTCCTTAGCAAGTCACAATCTCATCCATACTGGAGAAAAGAAGTTTAAATGTGACATTTGTTCTACAACATTTGCACATAAATCTTCCTTAGCAAGTCACAATCTCATCCATACAGGAGAAAAGAAGTTTAAATGTGATATTTGTTCAAAAGCATTTGCACATAAATCTTCCTTAGCAAGTCACAATCTCATCCATACAGGAGAAAAGAAGTTTAAATGTGATATTTGTTCAAAGACATTTACAAGGAAATCTGCCTTAGTAAGACACAATCTCATCCATACAGGAGAAAAGAAGTTTAAATGTGATATTTGTTCAAAGACATTTACAAGGAAATCTGACTTAGCAAGTCACAATCTCATCCATACTGGAGAAAAACAGTTTGAATGTGACATTTGTTCTAAAACATTTGCACAGAAATCTTACTTAGTAAAACACAATCTCATCCATACTGGAGAAAAGCAGTTTAAATGTGACATTTGTTCTAAAAGATTTGCAAGAAGATATCACTTAGTAAGTCACAATCTCATTCATACTGAAGAAAAGCAATTTGAATGTGACATTTGTTCCAAAGCATTTGCAGAGAAATCTACCTTAGTAAAACACAAACTCATTCATAATGAAGAAAAGCAGTTTGAATATGACATTTGTTCTGAAACATTTGCACAGAAATCTGACTTAGTAAAACACAATCTCATCCATACTGGAGAAAAGAAGTTTAAATGTAACATTTGCTCAATAGGCTTTGCACAGAAATGTCACTTGGCAAATCACAATATCATTCACCAGTCAGAGGCAAGGGTTGTTTTATGTCCTCTCTCAAAAATGAATAATAAAAACTGTCCTCTTCTTACCAAGAATTTATAGAAGAGATGTTACTGCTGCTACATTTTCTGGTAATTGGACATTGGACAGAATTTTTTTTGAAAAATTATATGGTCATTCATACCAGATACAATACCCATGTCCTTAAATTAAACCTTACCTCATTGAAACAGTGTGTTGAAAAATTAATGGGCAAATATACTGTAGATACACTTAATTTGATGCTACTTAATTTGGCGGATTTGCTCACTTTCAAATATTGGTGGCTATTTAATTTGGTAGACTCAGGACTGAGCCCAAGTTTTATCATAGATCTGGAAACAAACGTTTCAGATTCATGTGTTCTGCTTTCAGTAAGTCCTGGTGTAGCACTGACATCCAAACAGGAATACTTTACACAAGTGAAATAATTGCAAACTACAAATTCTCTTGGGATTTTTCAAAATAGATTAGAAAATTGGCGGATTTTCAAATTTAGCGAATTTTTTCAATCCGCCAATCCGTCAAATTAAAAGAGTAGCCAAATTAAGTGAATTTACAGTATTTTGATGCGTAAGGGAAGTCATATGTTGACTAATTGAAAGGTTGTAGATTCCCTTTCATATTGATCCTAAAATTTATTGAAAAAAGGTGTTGAACAGTTGAATATGTTTTTGCAGATTTAAAAAAAAAAATTTTTAGCAAAAGTAGGACAGACAAATGAAAAATCATCCTTGATCAACTTTTGGAAGCTTTAGAGAATTTTTATTGCGGTTGAAATCACTTAGATTAGACTATAATCAGCATGTGGAAAATAAATAAACTAAAATTGAAAAACTATAGGTATCTTGCCTGCTTGTTATGATTTTTGTAAAACACATGTACATAAATACAGCAATTCATATGTCCTTTAGACATGTTAGAAGGAAAAAAAGTAGATAATGTTTATTTCCTGTTTCCATCTCACTTTTTTTGTATATATCAATACATGTACATGTATATGAATTTGTATATGCAATTTAGAAATGTACTTTATTTAGCTATCACATTTAAAATATTATATGCTATACATGTATTATCCTACACTTAGTGTGCTAAATGTATAACATTAAAAAATAATTTCGATATCTATTGGCAAAGTAAATGATATCACCACGATATACTCCGGAAAACCAATATGCGGAGGATATTGTGACGATATACTCTGCTTGTAGATTTCCCGCCAAATTGACTCTATTTGGCATGAAATTTTTTCTATGATATTGTACATTTAGTACACTTCTAGTAAGTGTAGGAAAATAAGAACATCCTATAAATATCAACATAACTGATGATAAATATGACAATTATTAAACTGTCCATATACCTTTTAGATGACCAATTAAGGGTTTATGAAAGGTTTATCATTTCTGTTTCTCACTTTCTACTGATTTTGTGTATATACATGTATGTAAGCACATTTATTATGATAGAAAGGTTCTTTATTTTGCTATACATTACATGTAACCATGGGCGTAGCGCCCGGTATGCTTGGTACGCACAGGCATACCAAACAGTTGCAAATCTGCTCCAAATACAACCAAATTTCAAAATTTTCCTGGGGGAGAACCCCAAAACCCCTCGAATGCTCGTTTTTTTGATTCACTCAACTCTTGTTCCTGTGGTGGTGGCGTACTACTGGCGTACTAAAATAGCGCTACACCCATGGTAACATATAATAATAAATTTATAGCATTATTTTGTTGAGCTTTATAAACACAGATTAATATGTAACAGTGCATTTTGAGTCTGAAGAGTAATTTGGAAAATCTTTAATTTTTCTATGATTTAGCGTTTCCACTGTTTGAGTCAAAGCAGTTTAGACATTTGCAAGGAAATCTCATAATTTCATCCATACTGGAGAAAAGCAGTTGAATTGTGACTTTTGTTTGAAAACATCTCCAAGAAAATCATATTTACAAAGACACGATATCATTCATACTGGAGAAAAAATTTAAAATGTGACATTTGTTCAAAAACATTTGTGCATGAATCTAAATTAATAAGTCACAATCTTATCCATACTGGAGAAAAGCAGTAGAAATCTAACATTCAATTTCTGATTCTTTTTTCATTTTTTGTTTAATTGACAGCTGACTATTCTATTTCTTATTTGTTATGTATTATATAATGTATTATATATTTTACTGTATATGCATGGAGTGTATGTAGTACATGTACTGATAAAAAATCACTCAATAAAAAATATATTCTCTATTATTTGTATTTCTATTCCCTCTTTTACACAAAATCTTGTGATGTCATGTCACATTCATGAGAATTCTAGAATCACATGGCAGTCATTGTGGAAATTTCAAAAAAGTTCCCACTTAAAAGGCTAAATAATGTTAACAAATTGGATACTTTTGTAGAATCAACAAAAGGTTTGTGAAAGAAAGAAATAAGGATGGTTTCAAAATGATGCACAGGACAGTATATAACTATTTAATGCAGGCACGGACTTTTAATTGCCAAAAAGTTGAGTGACAAAAAGCATTGGTATCTACCTAATAAGGTTTTGAACAGCTTTAATCACATCAACAAACAGAACAAGGCACAGACGTGAACAATATCGTACCTAAAACACAGCAGTGTGACAGTGAAGAATTTAGGACGGAAAATCCAAAATGGCCACCTTAAAATTTACCCAGAATGCCCAAAAACTAATCAGTTCTTAACTTTGATACATAGAAACATCCCTGAAAATTTCAGATGAATCCATCAAATGGTTTGGCTGGAAACCTGTGGACAAGTCTTGAAAGTGAAGATTTTAGGACGGAAAATCCAAAATGGCCACCTTAAAATTAACCCAGAATGCCCAAAAACTAATCAGTTGTTAACTTTGATATGTAGAAACATCCCTGTAAATTTCAAATGAATCCGTCAAATGGTTTGGCTGGAAACCTGTAGACAAGTCTTGAAAGTGAAGATTTTAGGACGGAAAAGTCAAAATGGCCACCTTAAATTTTACCCAGAATGACAAAAAACTAATCAGTTCAATTAACTTTGATACGTAGAAACATCCCTGAAAATTTCAGATGAATCCGTCAAATGGTTTGGCTGGAAACCTGTAGACAAGTCTTGAAAGTGAAGATTTCAGGACGGAAAATCCAAAATGGCCATCTTAAAATTTACCCAGAATGCCCAGAAACTAATCAGTTGTTAACTTTGATATGTAGAAACATCCCTGTAAATTTCAAATGAATCCGTCAAATGGTTTGGCTGGAAACCTGTAGACAAGTCTTGAAAGTGAAGATTTTAGGATGGAAAATCCAAAACGGCCACCTTAAATTTTACCCAGAATGCCAAAAAACTAATCAGTTCTTAACTTTGATACGTAGAAACATCCCTGAAAATTTCAGATGAATCCGTCAAATGGTTTGGCTGGAAACCTGTAGACAAGTCTTGAAAGTGAAGATTTTAGGACGGAAAATCCAAAATGGCCACCTTAAAATTTACCCAGAATGCCCAAAAACTAATCAGTTCTTAACTTTGATACGTAGAAACATTCCTGAAAATTTCAGATGAATCTGTCAAATGGTTTGGCTGGAAACCTGTAGACAAGCTGAAAAGTGAGACGCCGCCCGCCCGCCCGCCCGCCCGCCCGCCCGCCCGCCCGCCCGTCAAGCTGACGACAATATCGTACCTTTATTAGGTACGATAAAAACAAACCCTCTTAAGGCTCGTAGCAAGGATTTGCCAAGAGGGGGGGGGGGGGGGGTTAGTTTTTAAAAAATTCCATGGGGATTCATTTTTGACAACTTTGGCCCAGAAATGACCTATGTCACCGGAATAGTGATTAGAATGGTGAAAAACTGCATGATTTTGAAAAGAATTTTTGGCCAAGGGGGTTGAGCATCAAACCTCAAAAACCCTCATTTAACTGTAGATTTTGAATGTTACAAAACAGGAGCATTCTTCCAAATGGGAATCATCCTCAATCTGTGCTAATTAAATAAAAATACCTGTTTTTAAAAAATAATATCTACGATTTTTGTCTCAGGTCACATACGTGTATGTAGATATTCTTAGAATTACTTTGATACTACAGTAGTATAGGTTACTGGTTTGAATGAATCTGATGGAAACAATATATTTTAAAAAATCTTCCCTATGCTTACTCTGAGATTCTAGTTTTCTAGATTCTAGATGTCTGATCAATGGAACTACCTTTTTGATGATTAGGATATGCAGAAATGTATATATTGAATTAAACCAGAACAACGGCAACGCCAAAGTGTAGCGAATCCCATCGAACAGAAATGGCTGGCATTTTTACAAACAAAATGTATAGCAAATATCATAAAATAACACCCATAAGAAAGGCCACCATTTTCAAAATGGTTGCTTACTAGCCAAGTTATCATCAGAAGAAGTAATATGCTTTTAAGTAGCCACATTTTTAAAAAATCACACACACATGCATGTAAATGCTGGCTATTTTTTAAAATGACTGCCTTCTACCCAAAATGTCATAAGACAGTATGCAATCATATAACATAACAAATATGAACAAAATCGCTCTATTACTTTTTGAATTATAATAAAAAATGTAAAGTAACACACATAAAAATGGTGGCCATTTTTCAAAATGGCTGACTACTCCCCAAAGTTTTATTAGACAATGTGCCATGCTTAAAGTATTCACATATCAAATATGAACAAAATCGCTCCAAAACTTTTCAAGTTACAGTAAAAATGTAAAAATGACAGCCATTTTTTAAAATGGCCACCTACTAATCGAAGTGTCATCAGGCTCATAAGTACGTATTTACATATCAAGTATGAACAACATCCATCCACTACTTTTCGAGTTAGAGTAGAGGCACAGTATTTCAATTAGAATAATAGGAAACCAAATCTTGAAGACTGACACATTCTGTTGGTCAGCACACCATTCATGAAACTGTTAAATCACTTCATCATATAGATTCTGGACAGCTGTATATTTAGCATAGGCTCTCTTGAGAATTTAGAGACTGTAGCCTGTGACTGTGGTGGCCCTTCTGGTTCTGGTTCAATCCATGAAAGAGGTTTAATAGCCTAAATGTTCAGCATATGAAAAGTGGGCGTCGCCCATGATTAGTCTTTAACAATGATGAAAATCAAAGGGAAACCATCTAGAGATAAAGAGGAAAATTCTCCTGTCCTATAACCCTCACATAGTCAAGGCTCAGTATTTGAATTTGAATAATCAGAAACCAAAGCTTGAAGACTGGTACATTCTGTTGGTCAGCACACCATTCATCAAACTGTTTAGGCACTTGGTCAAGCCCTGTGTTCTTCTATGTGCACTGGTACACAGACAACACAAGCCTTTTTATAAGAGTTGCGGACCACTCAGGAACCCATATAAACAGTAATACGCTAAGATAATAATACCCTGAATTACATATCCTACAATCAAAAGTGGGAGTCGAAGCCAGGGCCAACCGATAGTGGTAACCTTGACTCTGCCAATTAGCCATAGTGGGTGGATGCAATCTAAGCAAATCATAACTGCATATTGACTGTTTATATTATGGTATCTTTAAAATTAAAAAAAAAATTGGTGGTCATAAAACGGAAAATAGATCGCTTTTCTTTTTTTTCTTAAATGATAAAATTTGTCTCATTTAGAGTAATATATTGTGCACATTTTCTGAAATTCAAAAGATTCTGTTCAATGAAGCTGCTACTTTTAGCTATTTTCAGCCACATTTTCAGAGGGCTGTTTAGGGTCATTCTGACCATAAACATTGTGACCCTGGTCATGTAATGGTCATATGTGGAACTAGTTAAACTGACTGGCGGTCAAAACAGAACTCTGTTATCTTTGTTCAAAAATGTTCAAAATCCAGGTGTTCAAATGGTTTTGTCACCTCCTGTATTGCCATTTTCTGTTAAGTACCATGAGAACTAATAAATAGTTCCTTTCTAATAAAATCAATTTTTTGAATTCGAAGAAATCTCATTTAAAAAAAACTGGTATTTTCAGAGGGGGGAGTGCGTTTGCATCAAATGCACCCCCTTTCTGACGCCTATGTATGTTGACAATTATTTGAGAACAGACTTTAAGATCCCCAAACATTTTAATGGTTCTTCCCTTGTTCTTCTTGTGTTGGAAACAGAATCCTGCAATACCTGTACTTAAATTTACTCCTTCAGGTCATGTTGAATCTTTGCTATTTGTTGTCTTATAAGTTATTAAATAAACTGTCAAATGTTTGGGCATACATAAACACTATCTGTTGATTATTATATCATTGTTCCCTGCTAGTTCTATGCTCCTTTCAATATATTATGTTGAATTATAGAACAAGATCTCCATGACATTATTTGCACAGGTACATCTTACAGATATCTTAAACTATGTTCAAGTGGAGGTCATATCTATCAGTTCCTAACATATATATAGTAGAAGACTGCATGGTGCATATAAGATGGACAACTACATGTAAGAATTATATGAAGACTCAGCAACCAAAATATAAACAGTGATACAAGGAGAACAGTGTCAAAGACATAATGAACATAATTGTTGAACTTAGAATCAACACCAAGAATATAGTAGTAATATATATCTGTATATAGAGAGACACGGAGAACAGTCTGACAACAAATTAAAAAATAATTAAAGTGAAGAATCAACAACCAAAATATATGATATATATATGATACAAGATGTGATGGAAAACACTATGCATACTCATATTGAATGACATTGAGTACCATGTGGATATTTAAAAGAGATATTGACTTAACCTGCCTTTATGTGATGTTAGTAAACCTAGTTCTAAATAATATCATCATAGTCTGATCCGCATTGGAGAGAAAAAGTTCAAATATAATTTGAACAGAAAAAGGACAAACAATTATCCATATTTGGGAAAAGCAGTTTACTGATGTATAGTTTATTTCAGAGTTTTTCTTTGTCAATAAAATGCCTCAATGTCAAAATATACAAAGTCAGTATGCAGTTATGATTCGGGACAAGCCCGAATCATGATCTATTCTTTCTTCTCTCAAAGTTCAATAACGTAATCTGGAGTGCAAAAAAGTGGGTGCGGTTCAAAATGCTGCAAACTGATTGGTCAAAATGGTGATTTATGAAAAACTGTCTGGCAAGTCTGTTTTTGAGAACAGTATGCATAACTCACATTTTCACTTGGCACCTTGTAAGGCATATCCCAGCTATGGCATTTATAGTTGAGAAATAGGGATCGAAACCAGCCATAGTTTTCTCCTGATGACCACTGTGAGTTATTGTGTTTTACGGATTATGGCACAAATTTGCATATTGATGTTGGCCTTTTGAATTGCCTATGGACTTCAAGACTGGATCTCATCCATTCCACACCATTTGAGACCTTATTTGACATCTCTCATGAGTACTAGTATCTAGTATCTACAACTGTTTTTGATGTTATGAGTATTGGCTATCAATGTTTCTTCAACATGTATTGTAATGAGTTCATTATGTATGAAATGTCCCTTTGTGTTCTGGTCATGAATTGGGATATTGACTCTTGTTTGGGAGAAGGGAATGTGATACACTCTTTCGAATATATAAGGTATATTTTTCTTATGACATGTTGAGACTTTGAGTTTCCTTTTCTTGCTGCTTCTAGGATCATATTCATCAGTATGATATGGCAAAATTGACAAAATTACAAATGTAAAGTTTTCATGTTATTAAACTTAGATAGAAAGTATTGATCATGATTTGGTCTTTTCCGAAGTCATAACTTCATACTGACAATGGTAATAGTGTAATATACTGAGAAACATAATTTCATATTGCACACAAATAACATTTGCACATCTCAAATTGCTCGTGGGGCTCATGAAATTAGTGGTCTCTATTTTGATGCTTCTGTAACGAGTTATTTAAAAAAAATAAACAGGCAACAGCTTAATTGCACATGAAACTATAAGCTAATTAAATCTGAAATAAACTTTATGCATGTTTTCCTATTGAATGCCAATGTTATAATTCCTTATTTTTTTATTGACAAAGAAAAACATTGAAATGGACTGTACATGTGAATTAGGAAATTTTGTTCAAGCTTGATAATCTAGTTCTACAAGCTGACTTGCACATTTTATTGAAAGTGCCTAATTACAATAGATATATAACCTGAAGTATATTGAGCCGATATGCTACATACTGTATCATTCAGGCTACATGGAAAATACAGACAGGATACTGACTGACAGCGCTAAATTATAAACAATATATATCAACCAGGCTGTATTGATCTACCATACTGAATGTTCTGTTCTAGGATATTCTAAATATTTTGGAAGACATCACTAAGAATGCCTAATCATAACCCCATCCATACTGGAGGAAAACAATTTCTATGTGACATTTGTTCTAAAACATTTAGGCATAATTCTGACTTAGTAAGCCATAATTTCATCCATACTGGAGAGAAGCAATTTAAATATGACATTTGTTCGAAAACATTTGCTCAGAAATCTAACTTGGCAAGTCACAATCTCATCCATTATGGAGAAAAACAGTTTAAATGTGACATTTGTTCAAAAGCATTTCCACAGAAATCTTATTTAGAAAGACATAAAAAAATTCATACTGGAGTGAAGCAGTTTAAATGTGACATTTGTGCAAAAGCATTTGCACAGAAATATTACTTAGAAAGACACAAAATCATTCATACTGGAGTGAAGCAGTTTAAATGTGACATTTGTTCTCAAACATTTGCACATAGATCTAGCTTAAAAAGACACAATCGAATTCATACTGGGGAAAAGCCATTTAAATGTAACATTTGTTCTAAAACATTTGCAGACAGAACCAGCTTAGTAAAACATAATCTAATTCATACTGGAGAAAAGAAGTTTAAATGTGACACTTGTCATAAAACATTTGCGAGGAAATCTCACTTAGTAAGTCACAATCTCATCCACTCTGGTGAAAAGAAGTTTAAATGTGACATATGTTATAAAACATTTGCATTGAAATCTAACTTATTAAGGCACAATCTCATCCATACTGGAGAAAAACAGATTAAATGTGACATTTGTTCTCAAACATTTGCAAGGAAGTCAGACATACCAATTCACAATCTCATCCATACTGGAGAAAAGAATTTTAAATGTGACATTTGTTTTAAGACATTTGCACAGAAACCTCACTTAGTAAGTCACAATCTCATCCATACTGGAGAAAAACAATTTAAATGTGACATTTGTTCTAAAACGTTTACATGGAAATCTGCCTTAGTGAGTCACAATCTCATCCATACTGGAGAAAAAAAATTAAAATGCGACATTTGTTCTAAAGCATTTGCACATACATGTAAATCACAATTAGCATGTCATAATGTTATTCATACTGGAGAAAAGAAATTTAAATGTGACATATGTTCTAAAGCATTTGCATATAAATCTAATTTAGTATCTCATTCACACTGGAAAAAAGCAGTTTAAATGTGACATTTGTTTTAAAGAATTTGCACGGAAAGATACATTGGTAACACACAAATTCATTCATACTGGAGGAAAGAACTTTAAATGTGACATTTGTTCTAAGACATTTGTACAGAAATCTCACTTAGTTAGTCACAACCTTATCCATACTGGAGAAAAACATTTTAAATGTGACATTTGTTTTAAACCATTTGCAAGGAAATCTGACGTAAAAACACATAATCTCATTCACACTGGAAAAAAGCAGTTTAAATGTGACATTTGTTTTAAAGAATTTGCACGGAAAGATACATTGGTAACACACAAATTCATTCATACTGGAGGAAAGAACTTTAAATGTGACATTTGTTCCAAAACATTTGCACATAAATCTTACTTAGCAAGTCACAATCTCAGGCATACTGGAGAGAAGAAGTTTAAATGCAACATTTGTTCTAAACAATTTGCAACAAAATCTCACTTAGTAAGACACAATCTCATCCATACTGGAGAAAAGGAGTTTAAGTGTGAAATTTGTTCTGAAGCATTTGTACAGAAATCTTACTTAGTAAAACACAATCTCATTCATACTGGAGAAAAGAAGTTTAAATGTAACATTTGTTCAATAGGCTTTGCACAGAAATGTCACTTGGCAAATCACAATATCATTCATCAGTCAGAGGCAAGGGTTGTTTTATGTCCTCTCTCAAAAAGGAATAATAAAAACTGTCCTCTTCTTACCAAGAATTTATAGAAGAGATGCTACTGCTGCTACATCTACTGGTAAAGGATTGGACATTGGACAGAATTTCTCTGAAAAATCATATGGTCATTCATACTGGATACAATACCCATGTCCTAAAATTAGACCTTACCTCATGGACTTGAACAGTGTGTTGGAAAAATAATGAGCACTTTGTGAAACAGTTGAATGTGTTTTTGCAGATTTTAAAAATCATTTTAGGAAAAGTAGGACAGACAAATGAAAAATCATCCTTGATCAACTTTTGGAAGATTTTAGAGAAATTTTATCACGGTTAAAATCACTTAGATTAGTCCATAATCAGCATGTGGAAAATAAATAAACTAAAATTGAAAAATATAGGTATCTTGTCTGCTTGTTATGATTTTTGTAAAACAAATGTACATAAATACAGAAATTTATATGTCCTTTAGAAAATGTTAGAATGAAACAAGTAGATAATGTTTATTTCCTGTTTCCATCTCACTTTTTTGTATATATCAATACGTGTATATGAATTTGCATATGTAATTTAGAAATGTACTACTGTAAAACGGGTATTGTTAGCGAGGGGTGATTGTGAGCGATTGTTAGCGATAGCTATAGTTTCGCTAAAAATTCAATTCGCTAACATAAACCGGGGTTAAAATAAACCGGGCGCTAAAATTTGCAAATTCCCGGGAAACTACATGAATACTATATAGTATTTAAGGAGCTTTTCGTTCAGTGCTCGACTTCCGGTTTGTAATTTGAAAAAGGTAAATATTTTTAAATCGTATGTTTCTTTCAATATCTGAAGGATAAATAGCCATCCATCAGTAGTTTGGACCAATACCATGTGCATTAGAAGTCTTACATTTTGATAATTCCTCTGTCATGTCCGTTATTCATTCTTCTGCCATAAATGATAAAATTTCTAATGCATTTCGCTAATTTGATTTTTTAAAGATTAATCTTCATTTCGCTAAAATTTCCCGCGCTAAAACCCCCTAAAATTGAAAAATCGCTAAAATTTCCCGGTGTCAAAATTACCCGTTTTACAGTATATTTAGCTATATCACATTTAAAATATTATATGCTAACAGGTTCCAGTGTAGTTTGGCAATTCCATAGGTGACAAAAGTTTGAATTATTAATATAAATTAAGAAATATATTTGACAATTAATGTATTCTTCAGGTGTTGGAGAAGTTTTTTGTATGAGAAAAGATTATAAACAACCAGCAAAGTATAAAAATAAAGATATATATTTCTAGGTACTGTATATCTATGTTATGTACAGACATCAGCAACATATTTACAAGCTTTTTGTGTAGATAAATGAAGTGTCTGAATTCAGGCAGATGTTTTACTCTGTGCAACTCTTAGTATGGGAAAATATGTGTCTGAATTCAGACATGCCCACACATTTTTAATTTAAAAAGACAAGATTCTCTTAAACTAAAATAAGGTGTCTGAATTCAGACACTTTGCTAAGCTTGGATGAGGTGCCTGAATTCAGACAACATTCCATAAAACTGAAATATGGTGTCTGAATTCAGACACTTTGCTAAGCTTGGATGAGGTGCCTGAATTCAGACAACAATCTATAAAACTGAAATATGGTGTCTGAATTCAGACACTTTACTAAGCTTGAATGAGGTGCCTGAATTCAGACAGCAATCTATAAAACTGAAATATAGTGTCTGAATTCAGACAACTTGCTAAGCTTGGATGAGGTGCCTGAATTCAGACAACAATCTATAAAACTGAAATAAGGTGTCTGAATTCAGACATTCTAGTAAACTGACATTACAGGTAAGGATTCAGAAATTATAGTTTTCACTTCTGTTTTTTAATCGAAATTGATGTTTGAAATCAAATTCATTAAGTCAACATTTGTGTATTCCATTTTTTGTTTGGCAACAGAAATTTTCATCGGATTGCAATTAACATGTCTTATATAATGTTTTAATTGCAACTCTATATAAGCATAATTTTAAATTTTATGACAAGATATTTTTAAAAAGTAGTTCATCACGTACAGATCAAGTAATCTTTAGCATTACAGAAAATACTTCATTAGAAAATAATGTAATTGATGGTACAACAGGCAGAAGATTGATCATTTTAACTTTTTTATTTTAAATCACACCTGATCATCGACAAAGTACAGTGACAAAATATACCCCCGTAGACTTTTGATGTACAGTGTCACTATTCTAACTGATATGAAGCAAAAGATATGTTGTAGGTGTGATGTAGGTTTTAAAAATTAATCTGAGGAATGCATAAAGAATTTCATGTTTAATTTTGTGTGTATTCGATTAGGAAAACCATTAGCTTTCTGATTACGTTAAAAGATTTTCGAGCAGTACTCAATTTTTTTCATAGTAAATCTAACCACAAACAATAATCGGTTGGAAAATGTTGGGTTTTTCACATTTACTTTGATCATTTTTCCCCCTGTCGCCTAAGAGTGTCAATTATTTTTATGAGAATATGTTTCCCTAAGTTACACAATTAAGGTCGGTTGAAAATTTAATAAATATTCATGTTTTAGTTAAAATAATAAAAATCAAAAAATTACAAATGTGCCTTGTCATCTTGATGTACGTTGTCCCAACGAACTTACATATCTGAATTCACAGTTAACCCTGACAACATATTTTTAATAACACTAATGGGCAGGGGGATCAGATTGATTTAAAACTGAAACTTAACAATCACAGTATTACTTAAACTTGATTGAACCTATTGAACCTCAACACTTTCCAGATATAGCATAAAGAGGATTTTAAAAAGTCATCTTCGACTAGCTAGAATAAATCTCTCTATCAACTTCTTAAGATAATTGAAATTCATAAAAGTGTTTCTTATTACGTTAAAGTACAGATGTCAAGTGATCAAGGGGTAAGAGGCTAACACCCCATGGTCACATATTAATCACCACACCAACACTTTTATAAAATGAAATAACATTCAACAAGATTTAAAAATCAAATTTACCTTAACTTTAGAACATCTGTATTGGGGATAATTGAACATGTTCCTTAAACATAACTTGTTTAATTATTGCATTGTTCAATATAACATCTTGTGAATTTCATTTACACTGACACCCTTCAGTGGAGTTGACAACTACTCTTCTGATTTTTTATTAAAATTACACCCAATACATAATATTTATCAAATCTTCACTCATCTTAAATTGTGTAGTTTAGAGAAACATATTCTCATAAAAATAAATGACACTCTTAGGCGACAGGAGAAAAAATGATCAAAGGAAATGTGAATAAAAATCCAACATTTTCCAACCGATCAATTTTTGTTGATAGACTAAATAGGAAAAAATCAAGCATTGCTTTTAAATCTTTTAATGTAATCAGAAAGCTAAAAGTTGAAGATGAAATTGAAATCTTTCAAGTATTCCCAAAATTAATTTTTGAAAACCTCCATCACACCTGCATCATCAGTTTTTAGTGACACTGTACAATATAAAGTGTGCACTGGTATATTTTGTCACTACGTTGTCGATGGTTAGGCGTGTAAATATGAGTAATACTCTAGTTCTTTCATAATACATTATAATCTGTTAGCTTCATCATTATACTAGCCCAAGTTCTAATCTAACGATTTCAAAAAAAAAATCTGAAGTAAATTAGGGTCATATTCATCAAGTCTATCTTCGCATTTTGTCAGATTCATCTTCAAGGAATTTACAATGGCTTTGACATTTGCCACATAAATTGATCCCACCATATCACTGGCTTTGACTCAACAGTGAGAGTGTTCATTCCTATATAGAGAGATGCTATCTTCCCCAATTTCATCTTAAAGCTTCTTTTTTTCGAAATTGGTGTCGTATTTGGCTCTTATGGCTCAATTAATAATCTTTGATCCTGCTTGCTTTTTCTGTGTTGTATTGTGCAACAAATGAACATGCGCAATGGCAATCCTTGTATTGACATGCATACATGTTGTTGCTTTGGAAATAGCCAACATAAACCGCTCGCCGTTTTTTTGGTCTCAAACATCACCTGGAATTAAACAAAAGAAAACTATAATATTATTTAAGTAATATTATAATATTAAAGGGGCAACAAGGCCTGTAGAGAGAAAATAGGAAACTTTTAACTTTTTCTGAGCTATCAAGGCAACATCTGGCTTAACATCTTCTTTGACATACCTATTTTCTTAAAATGTATGGATAAACTATCAATTTCAGCATTAATAAGTGTAAATTCAGTTCAAAGCTTCAAAAAGGGGAAATCCGCTTTTATATTTTTAAGATCCACCATGTTTCAAGAGGAATATCAGCTGAAATAATGTTTATCTAGGGGGTTTCTTAGTAGATAATAAAAATAGATGTAAGTCTTGATGAAATAGCCAAACTTAAATATATTTTGACACTGGTCCATGATCGTTGAATGGCCCCTCTGCACTA